CCCTCGCTGTCCTTCTGCCGGCACTCCTTCACCGGCAGGCTCAGCGTGGACACCATCGTGTGCTCGATGCTTTCACGGCAGGCCTCGCTGCAGTTCTTCCTAAAGGGCCCCGACTCAAAACCCAGGCACTCGATGCAGCTCCTGAGAACAGGATGGATTCCAGGAGGTCAGAGACCTGGACACAGGCGAGGTGGAGGAGCTCCACCAGCGTCCCAGCAGCCCCAGCTGAGGGCAGGTGTTGGGGTAGTTACATTTTGGTCAGGCAGGGGTCGGGGCAGCCCAGGCACTTCTCGCAGTGGGGGGGCTGGTAGGTCCCGTTACACCGGCACTGGCCACAGAGGCACCTCCCCCTGTTGAAGCACACCGTGTTGTTGGGGGTGACGCACTCCAACACCGAGGTTTTGCAGTGGCAGGCTGAGCCCTCGAAGCCCGGATCACATTCACAGTTTCCACATTTGCACTTCCCGTTTCCTAAAGACAGGGAGGAGCCAACGTTAGGACCCCACCTGAACCCCCTCAGAGGTCCCCCCCCCCCACAGAGCAGCTCCTATCCTAACTCCTCCTCCAGACCTCTGGACCCTCTACTCCTCTTTCTGGGCTTCCCTCTATCTCCTCCTGTATCCACTGACTCTCACTGGGGGTTTTCCTCTGATTGTCAGACTGATGAGAACAGGAACATTGGCTCTGCTTTGGGAGTCGCTTTGGAGAAAAGCCTCTAAATGCAGAAACATGAACATAAAAGCCCTCAAAACAGCTTTAAAAGCCCCCCAAAACAGCTTTAAAGCGTCTGCTAAATGCAGAAACTCCGACCCAGCTTCAGGCAAAGCTCCTCATTGAATTGAATTGAATATACTTTATTGATCTCCAGGGAAATCACTGGCTTAATGTCGAAAAGCAGCACATCCACAACCCGAGAAAAGCAACAAAAAAGGCTCTGGGTTCTTTAGGGACCCAAAAGCCCAAATGAAAAGAAACCCTCAGTCAGCCTCTTAAAGAACGTGCTGCTACACTACCACAGTGGTCTCTGGTTCTCCAGGTTTGTTCCCCCTAAAGGCAGTTGTTTCCTCCCTGTGTCTCCTAGTGCTGCTCTTGGTGGAGCTGTAGTTCTTCTGTGAATAACTCAGAGTGTGAGCTGCTCTGGTGGGAGAGCTGTCAGATAGCTGCTGCTGTTATTGGGATCTGGAGCTCCAGAGATCCAGCTGGCCTTTCTGACCCTCCTCAGGGGCTCCGGCCGGGGGCTTGGCCTACCTGCACACTGCTTGTTCTGGAACTTCTCACAGTGCTCGTCGTCACATTCGCAGAAGGTGCCGTAGTAGCTCTGGCCGCTCTCCGAGGTGTGGCACTGGCAGCGCCCGCACTCGCAGTCGCCCCGGCCCTCGCAGTCGGTGCCGTTCTGCCTCCGGCAGGACTCCCGCAGGGCCTGCTCGTCCCGCTCCCCCACCGAGCAGTTACAGTGCTGGCCTTTGTGGCCCTCCAGGCAGCTGCACACACAAGGACCACAGCTGTCCACCAGCAGGGGGCTCTGGACCTCCATCATCCATCCATCCATCATCCATCCATAGGGATCATTAACCCATCCATCATCCATCCATCCATCATCCATCCATAGGGATCATTAACCCATCCATCATCCATCCATCCATCATCCATCCATAGGGATCATTAACCCA